ATTATTCACAATTTCACAATCATAAAATAATCAAGTCAAATCAAATTATCTTGCATGTGAAAGGTTGGAAAGTATGACATTTTGACTTCATTAAACAATTGATATGAAATATCAGGTTCAGGTTGGGAAGTGGTCACTTCCTAATCAGTTAGTATGTAATATAACAGTTCAGGCTAGAAAATGGCCACTTTCCAACCTGAACTGTCAATTTTTTCAAAATTTGATAAATTCTTTATTGGCTTTCTGATCTTTGACGAGGATGATTGTGAATAAAATAGTACAATTTTGCTCGATTTTAATACAGAATTAATTCAATTCAACAAAATAATGGCTCAAGCAAGAGTTTTCTTGCTTGTATTTTATAATAATTGCTTCAATCCCAGTTTTAGGCTGAAATAAAGCAATTTGTGATATTTTCAATCGATTGAGCTCAATTTTAAGATGGAAGTCAACCTGAGTCAAACTCTTTCAACAAAATTATGGCTTGAATAAGAGTTTTATTCCAAAATAAAACAATGTTAGCTATTTTCAAACCAATTTTGCTTGATTTTAATACAGAATTTATTGTAAATTTATGTATTTTATAAAAATAATTTCTTCAATCCCAATTTTAGGCTGAAATAAAGCAATTTGTAATATTTTTAATCGATTTAGCTAAATTTTAAGCCGAAAATCAACCTGAATCAAAGTATTTCAACAAACTAATGGCTTGAATAAGAGTTTTCTTCATCTATAGTCTTCATCATACTTCGGCCTATTACGTCTTGGTAATGAACCACCTCCCACCTCGGTATGTAATCTACTATTCACACCAAATTCAACATACAGAGAAAAAAATCCTTTCCGATGAAAAAACTTTTGTTGACTTTTTTTATTCTCAAAAGGTGTGTTTCATATTTAATTGTGTTTTGTTGGTTTGATTTTTCTTTTCCTTATCTCGATGACTTCCTTTAATATTTCCTTTTTTTTGTCTCAATAATTGTTCTAAACTATGATATTATATTTTCTTCCTCATGTTTTTATTATTTCTTTCCTGCTTTTTCTCATTTCTAGCTTATCTTCATTTTTTCAATTTCTTTAAGAATATTATCCTAAAATATTATACACATTCATAACAGTATTTTCGTTTCTTTTCATTCTCCTTAATAAATTTTTTTCTCCTCTGTGTTGTCCTTTTTTTATTGTTCTAGTATTTTTCTTATTCTTATTATATAATTTTCTTATTCTTTTCATTCTCTTTTTTTTTAAATTCTCTGAAACAAAATTTCAGTTTTCTTTTGCTTTGCTGCCAAACTTTGATTGCATTTCACAAATCTTTATAGTTAAATGAATTTAAAGGAAATAAATTGCCAGAAAAGTTGCGTAACTTTTTTATGCTGTTCTAATCTAGTTTCAAATCAACTCAAGTAGACGTACTGACTTTCTAAAAAATGAATATGTATAACACTATAATTTTTGTTTTCTAACACATTTGAAACAATTTCTAAACTGGGAAAATTTGTCCTGCTTACCACAAAATCCTTTACGCAGCTAACTTAAAAAAAGGGTTAAGCTTGGAAACCACATAAATGACAATTAAACTGTTAATTTGACTTTACGAAGCAAAAAAAAAGAATTTTCCTTTTTTTTGTCTCAATGATTATTCTAAACTATGACATTATATTTTCTTTCTCTCTTTTTTAATTATTTCTTCCCTGCTTTTTCTTATTTCTACCTTATCTTCATTTTTTCAATTTCTTTAAAAATATTATTCTAAAATATTATACACATTCTTAACAGTATTTTCGTTGCTTTTCATTCTCCTTAATATATTTTTTTCTCCTCTGTGTTGTCCTTTTTTTATTATTCTACTATTTTTCTTACTTTTTTTTAAACTGGGAAAATTCGTCCTGCTTACCACAAAATCCTTTACGCAGCTAATTAAAAAAAATGGTTATTGCCACCCAACGATTTCGTAAACTTGGAAACCACATAAATGACAATTAAACTATTAATTTGACATTAGGAAGCAAAAAATATTTGAATGAATCTACAAGAACCCAAAGAAGAGAATGAACCCCTTTTACCAAAAACCTGTTATTTCAGCGACGGCAAAACCAAGGTCGACTATGTCATAGTGTACGCAAAACAGGAACACATTCGTACAGATAACTCTCTAAATCAAATCAACCAATTTATAAAATTCATCAAAGATAAGGGATTATTAGTCGAGAGAGACCTTGGAAAGGTAAAATCTCCTTAAAAAACCTCAAGAATACTAATTTGCCCCAGTTTTATAACAATTTGTACTTTATAAAAATCCACGGACCACATAATGTTCTGGTACGATATGCCAAAATTTATAACATCTGCCTCACTTGCCAAAATCCCTACTACAAATACAAGGAAACAACATGGTTTGATTTTTTAACAACCGAAGTGACAAAACCAAACCCAGAAAGCGAGGTTTATCAGCGCGCCGAGTAGGTCCGAAGCCAAATTTTGGCCCTTTTTGAATTCTCTTTCCCAGAAAAACCCTTTCAGGTAATAGACCCACGGAAATAACGACAGCAGAACGCAGTCTCATAGTTTTCGAAATTTTGAAACGCATTTCATTCCTGATTAACGACGACGAATTCACTCTCAAAATAATGCTACAGAAGGAGATTTTCTTGCAAGCGTTTCCGATCCATGATGGTGATTGTGATTGGACGACTGAAGGACTTTTGACAGACCGACAGCTCCTATTCCAGTTTTGGACAAACGTTAAGCACTTATTCAAGGACCAACCGGTGCACTTGATTGAGAAGTACTACGGCCCTAAAATCGCCTTCTATTTCGCCCTTGTCAATTTTTATACACGGATGTTGCTCGTGCCGACTGTTATAGGGGTTATGACAGTGCTTACAGGTGTTGTATTACTATTCAAGGAACATTTTATTGAGTAAGTGACAAAAAGAGTCGATTTTTACTACAGCTTTGTCACAAGGGACGAGGTTTGCAACAGCAAAGTAACAATTTGTTCGGATCAAAAGCTCCTAACTGCTTGTACTTTAATGAAGTTGGCCTATGTTATAGACAATCCTGTGACTATAGTCTATGTTATTTTGTGTTCCTTTTGGGGTAATAATTAGCAAAACTATAATTTTTGGCTAAAGTGAGTTTATTTAGGTGCAATTTTCTGGAACATGTGGCAGAGGAGACAAGCAATGCTTCGCTTGAGATGGAATTTGACTGGACTTAAGACCGACCGCACTATGAGGTTATCCATTGGGTTTTCTCAATTTTTCTTAAATTTTTTTTAGACGTGAATTTCAGGAAAATGCGAATACGCGAAAATCGTCAATTACTGGCGAAATCGAGTATTATATACCTCCACATAAGAAAGTACTATCTGCTGTGTTTTCCTACTCAATTATTTTCATTATGGTTGTGTATTTTCATTTTTCGCTTAAATGTCAAAATCGTTGTTTTTCAGATAATTATTATTTTTCTTATAGTGTTTTTGATGGTCCAATACAGATTTTTTGTGAATAAATCGTTAAATTATGATGAGACGAAGAATGCTAATGAGATTGAATTGTTCACTTCCTCGATTATAACAGCGGTCATAATCATGCTTATAAATCAGGTGACTAACAAAATTTTGTTTATGACTACAGGGTGTTAAAAAAAGATTGTATAATATTTCAGGAGGTTATAGTATGGACCAAAACAAACAAAAAAGTCTAATAAACATGGGTCCGCAAAGTAACGGTTTTAGAGATATCGAAAATTATTCGTTTTTCAAAACATTTATTTAATCTGATCAAATAAAAAAGAGAAGCTTCTAGTAAGAATTCTAAAAATTTTCACATTCGTTATGTCCGAAACCGTTACTTTAACACCCTGTATACCAGAGAAAATAATATAGCTATAGTAATAGTTAAACTAAAAAAGAAAAAAAGGCAAAACAAATCATATACAGGGTGACCCAGGGGTTTGTGCACGCTCTATAACTTTTTTTCTATCCAAGTTATCGACATGATTTTTTTTAACTATAGATCCAACAATGAGGCACATTATAAACATATTTCTATTCATATACAGGGCGTCGCAAATAAGATACACAACTAAGTGCCGTTTTTTTAAATGAAAACCACAATTTTTTATTCCATGTCTGGATTCGCCCCTAAATTGTCAATATAACACACCTTGTTTCTTAGACTTACCTGCAATAGTTTTTGACTTATGCCAATTTATGTGTCAAAATTGCATCGTACATAGGACCAACAAAAAAATTCATAACTCCAAAACTATTCCAGACAACTTAACCAATTTTTTTCCAGTCGATTCCTTAAGCTTTAGCACATCTTTTGAGAAAAAGGCAAACTCGAAGTCGATGTTCCATCGCCTACTACGATTTTTTGAAAATGACAAAATACAAATGGCAATAACACGATTTTTTTAATACAACACTCTATCTTTTATTGCATCATTACATGGAATTTTTTGTGATGTATGATGGCCTTACATTCAGTTGATGGAGCAATGCTTGCTAGAGTTCGGAGCTCATTTACTAAAAGACTAGAAGCTTATGTGGAACATGATGGTGACCTATTTGAGCAGTTTTTATAAAATTTTTACATTGTTTTCTGTTAATCATTCTTTCCTATTCTTGTAAAGATTACTAAAATTGTTTCCTTTATTGTGATGTACTCCTGTTTCTATTACAATTTCATTTTTGAAACATTTTTTTTTCAGAATTGCATAGATGTGTCAAACGATAACGGCCTACTCGATTTTTTTTTCAGAAAAAAACATCAACAATACTTATTTTGCAAAAATCTCCTAAATTTTACAAAGTAGACCCCATAAATCCTATATCGACAAAGAGCTCATAAAAAATGCCATGCAATATAGAGTGTTGTATTTGAAAAAGTCGAGTTATTGCCAAGTGTATTTTGTCATTTTCAAAACATCGTAGTACGCGATGGAACGTCAACTCCGAGTTTGCCTTTATCTAAGAAGTCGCGCTAAAGCTTAAGGAATCAATAGGAAAAAAGTTGGTTAAATTATCTTGAATAATTTTGAAGTTATGAATTTTTTGTGGGTCTATGTACGATGTAATTTTGACACATAAATTGGCATAACTCAAAAACTATTGCAGGTAAGTCTAAGAAACCAAGGTGCGTTACATTGACAATTTAGTGGCGAATTCAAAAATGTAATAAAAAAATGGGGTTTTTATTTAAAAAAACAGAATTTAGTTGTGTATCTTATTTGGGACATCCTGTATATGAATATTTTTATAGTGTGCCTCATTGTTGTATTTATCCTTGTCGATAACTTCGATAGGAAAAAAGTTGTTGAGCATGCACGCACCCCTGGGTCACCCTGTATATACAGGCTGTTTCATAAATCACACCATGGAGAAAAGTAAGATAAGATGCCAGGAACATAGAAAAAATGTTAAAAAAATTCTAACTGTCAAAAAATTTTACCATTTATTTTTTGACGTTTGATCTTTTATACAATGAGATTCTGAAATAAGTGCAATAATTTTGACCAGTGATAAATCTCGGCAAGATCAACAAAATTGTTATGTACCATTTTTTCGAAATCGATTTTTTTTGAGACATTTCGGTCTTTGTAAAATAACGAACCGCCCAGTCCACCTGAAAGTAGTAACCGTGAATTTGCTTGGGAGTTTTTTGCAGGGTGTTTTTTTATGAGTTTTGATTGCGATAGAGAGATAAGCACGTTCTTATTGCAGTTTACATTTGGTTAATTTGCCTTAAAAATACCCAATTTTTTCAAATGCCAAACATTACGTGGACATTGTGCTAGCTTATGAAAACTGTTCCAAATATATTTTTCGAGATGTTTTTTTAAAGTGCTGTGCAGTATTTTTGAGATCACGGATTAGATCAAAATAAACAATTTGGTGAGTTATTGGAATTAGAATGTTTCTTATTGACTTTTTGTGTTGCATGCAGTGTGCAAGCCAAGTAGTAGTCTTTTAACAATAAATAAATAAATAAATAGTATTTGTATGATTTTGATAAAATTATTCTTCGAGCATTGTGTTATTGCACATTAACTTAATTACATATAATCTTATTTTTATTGCTGAAATAATAATTATTAAACAAGAACTTTTAACGGCTTATTTTCTCAATAAAATTTGAATTTAGTTTTACATAGTTGTTTATAAATAAAACTAAAAAGACCATTTTGTGTGTGTTTTTTAGTGGCTTTATCGACAACGTGTGCGATGCTCGCCAATCATAGGCGGGTACGAGATTACGGGAAACCGATTTATAATTAACTTAATAATAAACAAAATGTTGCATTTGACGGGTTTTTAAGAGTTTTAAGTATTTAAAAAAAATTCTGAATTTTTATAGATAAATTTTTTCTATGTTCCTGGAATCTTATCTATACTTATCTTACTTGGTATTTTTTTTTGGAGCGTGAGCTCTGAAAAACCATGGGAGTTTACGAGCAAATTTTCTAACTACCTAAATAATTCGTTATGAAGTCACTTTGAAGAACAAAGAAAATCCATATCCAATCTTTTTTTATATTATCTCCCTCGTTTTTTCTCTTGACGAGTTCTACTAGTGGGTAGGATACAGGGCGATTCTTAAATAGAGCGACAAAATTTTAGCTTCCCAAGGATAAATGGAGACAAACTGTCGTTTGTTTACGTTTATACCTTTTAAGGGCAAAATCCCTAATTCTACAGTGCGATCAAAAAGTTTATCTATCAAGCAAGCCTAGAAATTGAAAACGTGTGTCTGCGGAAGATAAAATGTCACAATGGTAAATAAGAAATGTCAAAATATATTTTTTGTAAACTGTAACAACAAATCGTGGTGAACGATTTATAGGAATAAACTCCAACTACATCTCATTTTAGGGTGTTTTAAAACGTTTTATACAGTAATTCAATTTGTTTAGATCAATATTTTAATTTTTATATAATATTTTTTTGATATCTAGCTGACATACAAACTTCCAAGCGTCATACGTCCTCAACTAGTACGCCTACTTGATAGAAAGACTTTTTGATCGCACTGTATTTACGAACACATCAGTGGCGTACGCTTTACTTTGAAAATAACTTTAATAAATATTATTTGGAGAACGGTTAAACAAAGAATTTTTTTACTACCAAGAATAAATTTTTTTCGGTCTATTTAAGAATCAGCCTGTAAATGCTCATAATCCGCCAACAGCCTGTTTAGTTATACAGTGCGATCAAAAAGTTTATCTATCAAGCAAGCCTAGAAATTTAAAACGTGTGTGCGGAAGATCAGTTGTCACAATGGTAAATAAGAAATGTCAAAATATATTTTTTGTAAACTGTAACAACAAATCGTGGTGAACTCCAACTACATCTCATTTTAGGGTGTTTTAAGACGTTTTATACAGTAATTCAATTTGTTTAGATCAACATTTTAATTTTTATATAATAATTTTTTAATATCTATCGGACATACAAAGTTCCAAGCGACATAAGTCCTCAACTAGTACGCCTACTTGATAGAAAGACTTTTTGATCGCACTGTATTTACGAACACATCAGTGGCGTACGCTTTACCCTGAAAATAACTTTAATAAATATTAGTTGGAGAACGGTTAAACAAAGAATTTTTTTAATACAGGGTGCGCCGGAGCTCGCGCCCCAGAGAAAATTTTCAAGTAAGGTAAGATACCAGGAACATGAAAAAAATGTTTAAAAAATTCTGTCAAAACAATTTGACATTTATTTTTTATACAGCTTCCTTGTTTCCTCTTTTAATAGCCTACGGCAAAAAAAACGTTGCAAACTATTTTTCCAACAGAAATAAATAGAGTCAAAGTGCAAACTTTAAACCCTGATAACTTCGAAATTTTTATAGATAATTTTTTTTTAACATTTTTTCCATGTTCCTGGTATCTTACCTTATATGGCATTTTTCTCTGGGGCGCGAGTTCTGGCGGACCCTGTATATTTTCTAGCATGTTCTCATTTAATGCTACCAAGGATAAAATTTTGTCGGTCTATTTAAGAATCACCTGTATATGCTCATAATCCGCCTGTTTAGTTATAGTTTTTTATGTAGCAGCGGAGTTACGTTTTTTGTTGCGTTTTTGGATTACTTTAGTGATTTTGAGAGAGTTTTCAAATTGAAGGCTCATGAAGGGGAATTAATTTCTGCCTCCATCTGTATCAACATGGTTTTCAACCACTTAACTCGTTTGTTAATCGACAATTAAAAATTCACCATTTGCAAGGTTAATCATATTTATTAACAAAAATTTAACGATTGACACCTGTTTTAGTGTACCTCCTTCCTGATGACAACCTACTCCAAAATAATCCGCTTTATGACCCATCTTCGACAACCCCGGACTCAAACCCAGTACAACCAAATGTACTTACACATGACTTTCATTTTAATATTCGCAAACCATTTTTCTCCACTTTTCTATCTGGCATACATTAAAGGATTCCTCCACACTTATCCTGGAAATTTGTCGAAATTTTCAATTATAAGTACACTTCAGACCGATCTTTGCAAACCATCTGGGTGTCTTATAGACTTAGGAATACAACTGATAACACTAATGGTTATCAAAACATCAAAGAAGTTCTTTGAAGATTTCATGACACAGTATTCAATTTTCGAAACAGTGATAACACAACTAAATAACATTTTTCTAGTCACTTTTCACCGTGGCAAAAGAAAGCGATACGTGACCCCACTGTGGGACAGTGGGAGAGGGATTTTGACAAACAAGAATTAAGTGACGCGGTTATTAATGAGTTGTATACTGAATTGGGTAACGGAAATCGTTACTTACTTCTCTTGTTTATTTTTTTTCTAGTGCTGCAGTACAGTTTTATAACTTTCTTTAACGCATCTTTGCCCATTATCGGACTTATAGCTTTGATTCACAATTTGCTCAAAAGTCAACACGATTCATACATTTTTTTGAAATTTTATCGAAGACCAAGTCATGAAAGAGTTGCAGATATACAAGGATGGAATCACATACTTAAAGCAGTGACAATTTTTGGGACAATATCAAATGTTTGTCTTTGAAAATTTGAGTTTTTGTGTTTGTTATGATCTTTTCAGGCTTTCATCGTGGCTTTTAGGACAGATTTTGTTCTCCGGGTTTTGTATCAAAAAACACACGATGGTAGTTTAAAAGGTTATGTAAATAGTACATTGTCTAGTGAGTTTCTGATTTAATCAAAACAAGAGTGAAATTAATTTGTTTCCAGAATTTGCAGTTAAGGATTATCAACGAGAACATTTATTAATAGATCATAAAAATGAGTCGTTTTGCTTTTATCGTGGTTTCAGATACCCTCCGGAGCATGAAAAAAAATATGAGCCAACTTTGGATCATTGGTATTATTTCGCAGTAAAGTCGCTCTATTTCATTATTATAGAAGTAATGGAAATAATCAAAATATTTTTGTTTTGAAAACAGACTATGCTTTTAGAATGTTACATTGATTCTATCACTAGTTTTGGGTTATCTTATACCGGAAATGCCACGGAAAGTGAAAGTAAAATTGGAATATGACGAACAAATTATAAAGTCGGCAAGGGAGGCACGCTTGGAATTGGAGAAGTGGTAATCGCCCGTGAATTTTTTATTAGTTTTTAAATGAAATAAAGACGTAATTGAAAAATAAATTTATTTTGTTTTTGTAAAAATGGTGGATGCGCCAGGAAAACATACTGTTCTACTAAATTAACAGAGGAACAATAAAACGCGAAATAAGATAATTCTAAATTTAAAAATACAGGGTGGTTTATGTGGAATAATGAGCGTGACCAGATTCTGGATGCAACCACCATTACATTTTCGCCACTTGCTTTTTAAAAAAATATAATCTAGATCCACGATGCCTATTATTATTAATTTCCCATAGAACGTCAAAACTAATATACAGGGCTTTCATTTCAAAAGGATCCAGTCTCAATAACTTTTGACATTGAGTAAATGGATTTTCAAGCAAAAACAGGTCGATTAGGAACTCGAAGGGGAAGTTGAAAACCAACATTAGTTACATTTTAAGTTTCATCCCCTAGTCGCTAACCACCCCTACTTTAAAATTTTAAATGGCACCCCCAACTTTTTAGAACGTTTTCGGAGAGAGAAAAAATCAGCGTCTCTAAATGTCAAAGAAAAATTTTTTTTGGCGATTTGTTTTTCAGTTAGGGGTGGTTTAAGTTTTGAAATTTTTAGTCCTAGTAGCCTTTGATTGAACTCAAGTATAAAAAATATGTCGATTTAGGTTACGATGGAAGAGTTTAAAACCAACATTAAATACGTTTTAGGTTTCATCTCCTAGTCGCTAGCCACCCCTACTTTAGAATTTTAAATGGCACCACCTACTTTTTGAAACATTTTCAGAAAGGGAATAAATGAGCGTCTCTAAATGTCAAAGAAAAAATTTTTTGTCGATTCTTTTTTTAGTTAAGGATGGTTTAATTTTTGAAATTTTTAGTCCTAGTAGCCTTTGATTCAACTCAATTTAATTTAAATAAAAGTAATTTTTTAATTAACTGAACTGTCAAATGGTAAATTTTCGCTGAATTGTTGAAACCACCAAAGTTAAAGGCTACTAGGACTGATTAAAATTTCTAATAATAAAACTACCCCTAACTCAAGAACGAATCGACAAAATATTTTTTTCATTTACGATTAGATAAGCTTTTTTCCACCCCTTCCAAAAATGTTTCAAAAAGTTGGAGGGGCTCTTTAAAATCGTAAAGTAAGGGTGGTTAGTGACTAGGGGATGAAACCTAAAACGTATTTAATGTTGGTTTTGAATTCTCCCATCGTAATCCAAAACGACATATTTTTTATTTAAATTAAATTGAGTTCAATCAAAAGCTACTAGGACTGAAAATTTCAAAAATAAAACCACCCTTAACTGAAACGCTCATTCATTCCCTTTCTGAAAATGTTTCAAAAAGTAGGGGGTGCCATTTAAAATTCTAAAGTAGGGGTGGCTAGCGACTAGGGGATGAAACTTAAAATGTAACTAATGTTGGTTTTCAACTTCCCCCTCGGGATCCTAATCGACCTGTTTTTCCTTGAAAATACATTTACTCAATGTCAAAAGTTATTGAGACTGGATCCTTTTGAAGTGAAAGCCCTGTATATTATGATTTCATACAGTGAGATCAAAAAGTCTGTCTATCAAGCAAGCGTAGAAATTTAAAACGTATGTCTGTGGAAGATCAAATGTCACAATGACAAACGAGAATGTCAAAATAATTTTTATGTAAATTATGACGAAAACCTTGGTGAACGATTTTCATGAATAAACACCAACAAAATCTTGTTTTAGTTTGTTTTGAGACGTTTCATAGCATAATTCAATTTAATTAGCTCAATGTTTATGACATCTAGATAACATACGAACCGCCATGCAACATACGTCCTCAACTAGGACGCCTACTTGATAGAAAGATTTTTTGATCGCACTGTATTTATTACAAATAATCTTTGAAATCCACCTGCCCTTGGAATATGTAATGTTGGTTGCATCGAGAATTTGGTCAGGCTCATTATTTCTTGTGAATCACCCTTATGCACTTAATACTAACATTTTTCTAAGAAACGCAAGAAGCTAAACAAAATTTAATTTAAAAAATCAATTTTGTTGTTAAACTTCTACAGAATTTTAAATGTGTTAGGAGTTTTAAGGGTGACAATGCAAAGAGTAATTCCAAATTTAAAAAATATATATTTTTGCTAAAAATTTAGTAAATTTAAAAAGAATCAGTATTCCGGATAATTAAGCAACAGTTTGCTAATCTAAATTGTGGCAATTTGGATTTTTTTCTATTGCTATCGTAGTGCCACTAGTGGATTAAAATTGAACTTTTGGACTTAGAATTTAAAATTATTTAAAACGCATTGGTGGCTACAAAAAATATAGCAAAAAACTAATAAGGGTCACAAAAAATTAAGTAAAAAATTCCTGTGAGCCCAAAAAACTGAACAAAAAACCGCATATGACTTTGTTAAGTAGGTATGAGAAGCTTTGGCTTCTGAAAATTAAAAAAAAAATGTTTAGCAACAAAAAATAGAGCAAAAAATCGCTGTTGGTCACAAAAAATAACCCCCCTCCCTCCAAATAAAAAATTACTTCTAGCCTTTTAGATTGGATGATCAAAAATATTTTAAAAATTTTGCAGAAACAAAAAATGGAGTAAAAAATCGCCCACAAGCACAAAAAATTGAACAAAAAATTAATAATGGTCACAAAAAATAGAGCAAGAAATCGCCTCCCAAACAAAAAATTGAACAAAAATTGCTTGAGGACTTTATTAAAAATTTGTTAAGAATCAGAAGTTTAGATTGGATGATCAAAAATATTTTAAAAATTTTGCAGAAACAAAAAATTGAGCAAAAAATCACCCACAGGCACAAAAAATTGAACAAAAAATCGCTGGTGATCACAAAAAATAGAGCAAAAAATCGCTTCTCAAACAAAAAATTGTATAAAAATTGATTGTGGCCTTTGTTCAAAAATTTGTTAAGCATTAGGAGTTTAGGTTAGATGACCAAAAATATTTTAAAAATTTTGAAGCAATAAAAAATGGAGCAAAAAATTGCTGATGGTCACAAAAAATAGAGCAAGAAATCGCCTCTCAACCAAAAAAATGAAGAAAAATTGCTTGAGGATTTTGTTAAAAATTCGTTAAAAATCAGGAGTTATGATTGGATGATCAAAAATATTTTAAAAATTTTGCAAAAACAAAAAATTGAGCAAAAAATTGCCCACGGGCACAAAAAATTGAACAAAAAATCGCTGGTGGTCACAAAAAATAGAGCAAAAAATCGCTTCTCAAACAAAAAATTGTACAAAAATTGATTGTGGCCTTTGTTCAAAAATTTGTTAAACATTAGTTTAGATTAGATGACCAAAAATATTTTAAAAATGTTGAAGCAACAAAAAATGGAGCAAAAAATTACTGATGGTCACAAAAAATAGAGCAAGAAATCGTCTCTCAAACAAAAACTTGAACAAAAATTGCTTGAGGATTTTGTTAAAAATTTGTTAAGAATCAGGAGTTTAGATTGGATGATCAAAAATATTTTAAAAATTTTGCAGAAACAAAAAATTGAGCAAAAAATCGCTCACAGGCACAAAAAATTGAACAAAAAATCGCTGGTGGTCACAAAAAATCGCTTCTCAAACAAAAAAATTATTGCTATTGTTCACAGAAAATTGTAAATTGGTGGATTTGTTTCTGTTGTTTGGCAGTGGTTTTTTTTTTGGTTAAAAAGAAAAGAAATTGAAAACATATAAAAATAGATTTATTTTTCACTCATCGTTACATCAACTGTCCCAACATTTTTTCTTTTACCTTACGAATCCCTCTACCAATCTAATAATTAAAGTTATTGTCACGCAATGTGGCGCTAATTATCCTACGTCGCCGCAATTTTCAACATCTGTTCAATATCCACAATTTTCTCTCTCGGCTTATTCAACTTCTTCCCTTCATTCTTCTCATATTCATCAATCTTCAACCAATCTTCCCACGTCACAACTTGCACATTCCTCTCATCTAGAAGCTTCCTAACAAAGTCAAACCCCGGTTTTGTTTGCTTAACCCCCTCAAGTTCCAAATCTTTCAAAATAACAGACGCTACACCAAACGCATGTTCCATAGTATGGAGCAAAACACCACTAGCGCCCTTTGCCACCCAACCCGCAGTATACAAACCATTATCCACTTTCCCATACTTATTTTCTACAACACCTAATTGACTATTGAATGGTATGTCGTTGTCGGCTTGCACAGACTTGTACCCAATGCTTGCCACAACAAGACTACTAGCGATTGTTTCTTCTCGTTCAGTTGGCACTGCTTTTTTCTCTAATAAATCGTCGCCTTCTAATCGGTTTATTTGCAATTTGACCGATTCGACTTTGAGTGAACCGCCAAACTCTTTCGCCGACCTGAGAAAAATCATTTTGAGTTGTTTTTCATCCAGTTTTGGAGTTTGACGTTTTTGGAATTGATCAACCATTAATTCAGTCAAGCGTTTGCGCGGTTTTACCAACTTTGGCACTAGTTCTGGCACGTCTTGCATGTCTTCAGGGCGCCACACTGTGCAACAATTTTGCAAATTTAACAATTCTCGTAGCTCTTTTGTGGTGAAGGAGACTTGCAAAGGGCCTCTGCGACCGATTAGATTCACCTCTTTGATCCGGGATTGCGCAAAGGTTGCTAACGAGTGTTCAGTGATGTCTGTTGACTGGTAATTTCTATAAATAATTACACTTCATTTAACTTTTACAAACCTTTAATTTGTCTATTGGTGATAATAAGAGTCTCGCAACGTCAATAGCGACGTTTCCATGGCCGAAAATCGTAGCAGTCGTGTCTGAAAGGTCTACAGTGAGGTCTCTATTCCAGGGGACTCCATTGTACCAACCAACGAAATCTTTGGCTTGGAATATGTTTCTAAGGTCACTGCCTTTAATATTTAGCTTGCGACTATCGTCAACTCCATAAGTCTAAAAATTACTTTTTTATTTTATTTGTTATTAAGTCTAGCAAGCTGGCAACACAAGAGAAAAAACAGATATCTGCATCTGCACATGTTCTAACCTTACTTGCGAGCACTGTGAGTTTGACAGATTAGTTCCATGAAAAATAACTAACTTAATTAGGGTGACATTTTCAGTGGACTTTAGTATATTTCAGAGTTGGTCAAGAAGCATAGCCAAATACGTTTCCGACATACTACAACCAAAACATGGCACTGCCAGTGAAAAACTACAGATTTTTATGCATTTATTTTAAATTATGTTGAGAAAATTTTCAAGTAAGGTAATATACCAGGAACATGAAAAAAATGTTTAAAAAATTCTATCTGTCAAAAAATTTTGACATTTATTTTTTGACATTTGACATTTTTTTATGTCTACTTAATGATATTGATGATCTTGTATATGTTTTTTTACAATTATTCAGTAAAGGTACAAAAATGTTGCCAAAAAAAGCGACAAATAGCATTAAAAAGAGTTACGATTTAGGATACAGCTTCCTTGTTTCCTCTTTTAATAGCCTATAGCAAAAAAACTTGAAAAATTATTTCAGAACAACTGAAATAAATAGAGTCAAAGTGCAAAATTTAAACTCTCATAACTTCGAGAATTTTAAAGATATTTTTTATTAACATTTTTTGCATGTTTCTGGTATCTTACCTTATATGGCATTTTTCTCTGGGGTGCGAGTTCTGGCGCAGTCTGTATAGTATAAGTTGACAATTAAAAAAAAAATTAAATGTCATAGTATAATTTGGGTTATATTCAACTTTCTAATTGGAACCCATATTTTTTTCTTCATATTTTGGTTTTCTTTGTGCAGACATGTGCAATACGTTTTACTACGTTTTATTTTTACTAAAAATTATAGTTTAAAAAATTATCAAAGTTGAAATAAAATCAATAAAAGTTAATAAAACCTAGTTGCATGGTGTCAAATAAGATATTGTAATGTTAGATTTTGGTGTTGTAATGTTCAGATTTTTATTAAGAAATGACAATAATTTACTTATAACAAATTAAAAAAACATCTAATTTAGTGTGATTAATTTATTTTATTCAATCCTCTATGTTAAAATTGAATTTTATCCACTCTTTTCCTCATTTTTTATCGTCTGGATGATAAAAAATACATCCATTGTTGTATATCTGCGTTTGTTAGTTGCTAACGATCTTTGACATTAGATTTCATTGTTGAATTTTACTTTGACATCGACCAAATTGACTACAAAATTAGTGAGGATTAAATAAAATTTTATATTGTAACGACGATAAAATTTTTATTATCTTTTCGAGCATATTAGCGTCTCGGCTGATGCCTCGACGCTAAATTGCTCTCAAAGATAAAATTCAATTTTATCATCTTGTGTAATAAATAACTATTATTATTTATTTATTTTGTTTACTTTAATAAACGTTAATTTTTTTATGATATCATGCAACTAGATTTTATTAACTTATTTTTTTTCAACTTTGCTAATTTTTTTAAGCAATAAATTTTAGTAAAAGTAGAACAAATTGCACATGTAAAAAAATTGGGTGACAATATGTACTATGTATGACATTTAGAAAAATTGTAAAATTGTCAGCTTATACTAGATTAAAAGCCATTTAATTATTTTTTTTTATTTTAAAAATCGGGCCATAAATAAGTTTAGTTCAAAACACAACCAAGGCACGGCAGCAGAATCGAAAATCTGATGACTGGAACATTGTGTGTCTTTATTTTCTCTACTCAGTAGAGCATACTTGCAAGTTTAAACCCGAACAAATTAAATTCGCTCCATTTACTCTTTGGTCATGTGACTTCACTCTTGCTCCCACTCTAACTCCAAAGGAGTTTGAAAGCCGAACGCAGCATTGTTAGGTAATTAAACACAAAAATTAAAAGAAAAAAACTGCATAAAGTAAAATTACGAACCAATAAAACTACGTGATAGGCTTCTTTCAATTGTTTTAATGTGACGTCTCTTCCTAGGGTAATATTCCCCATAAATCTAACATTTTTTAATTGTGCAGTCTTTGAAAAAGTGTTGATACAGTTTTTAAGATTTGCATGGTCAGGAGCAACACCAAACCTAAAATTATTAAATAAATATTTTTTTGTTAGGATTTAGTAAAATTCAATACCTGACTAATCCAAATGGGACTGGTAGTCTTTCAATTATATCAATTTGAGCCGTTTCAAGCCTATTTGCCATATACTGAGCTGCATAAAAGCCTGCAGGGCCTGAACCCACCACACATATTTTTGGACTAATTTTCGGAATTGTTGAAAAACGTTTAAGTAATGAAAATGTCCGAAATTTCATTATTATGGTCCCGTTAGAACTTATTCAACATTTGGTGTTTACGTGAATCGAACATAACCTCAAACGTCACTAGTGTCACCACTCACATTTGAATTTTTAGTGACAACCTCATAAACAAAAAATTTAATGAGTAATCTTGGTTGCCTAACTCAGGGGATAAATCAGATTCAATTAACATTTTGTTGTAAAGTATATTTAAATATTTCAATACAAAATTGTTTTGTATAAATTGCTAGTAAAATGACAAGTAAAAAAAGTATTAGGGCTAATACTGCATTGCATGCAGGCATGGAAGGCCTCCCCTAAGTCTTATGTTTTTTCTTTCTTATATTGACACTGGTATTTAGATGACATGAATGATCCAAACTTAAAGTTATAATCAGTTTTATGAGACACTTTGATAAGACAAGTAAAATAAATGTTTGGAAATTTAAAGCCAACAGTAATACCAAAAAAAAAAAAACTACAATATAACATTCACAGTTTTTCAAATAAATAAAATATAAAAATAACACTTTAAACAATTTTGAATGGTCATGCAACAATGAGTAAGGTACTTGCATTGTAACATGAGAAATTTAAACTGATGTTGGCACTATAAAAATAAAAAACTCTTAAATTGTCTTGAATAAATAAAAAAAGACTATTTACAACAATAGTCTTGCATTTGTTCATCATCACAACGCATGAATTAATCTTATTTAGTTGTAATGAATAAATTGTTCGTGTTGCATGCGTTATGCCGCAGATGGAGTACGTTAAAACCGTGTAAACGGCAGTAAGACAGTTTAACTGTCAGTTTCTGCAATAATTGCATTGGAATGGAAAAGATTTGCAAATCGCCGCAAAATTGCAAAAATATGCCCGAACTCGTATTAAATACAAGTATAAAAAATTTGAGCATAACAAAATTAGAAATTCGTTAACGTTTCGGCACAATAAATAGCCTCAGATAATATATAATAAAAAATATCAAAATATAAACTTAATTTAAAAATATATATACAATTTTCGTCAAGCTCTAACTTTATGTATGTATATAAAAAGAAATTTTCCGCATGTCTGTACACAGCTGCAACTCAAAGACTCAACTACTCTCAATATCAGACATGCTGGAAACGGTTTAACTCGGGTGTCCAGCACGTTTACTAAGTACGTAAAATTCCACTTAAAGCTAAGAGTAATAAGCAATACTGTCTGTAAGTATGACCCCGCCACCAAAGCTAATAAGGCACATCTAGTGATCCCCTCGGAGAAGCTCCATCAGTAAATTGAAGCTTGGGCCGTCGCCGTCTTTCGATTTGATCGTCAACATCTCCTTCCCCACCTGGAAAAAAGAAATTTTATAGTTTTTTCAATATTTAAATGACTATTTTTCTCAATCTAGTATAGTAGCTTTTATTGTAATTGTCATAATGGTGGGCTATAGTATTTCATATTTAAGTTTGTAGCTCTGCGCATGTCGCTGGTATAACTGCAGGTGAGTTTTTTGTTTTTCTTTGTTACTTACCTACATGGTTTATAGAACTGACATGACTGACATTTGTATTTTGTTTTTTTTTCACTGTTTTCATTGCTTGTTCGTTATTTCCAGTATTTTTTCAAACTATAATAAAAGTAGTTCTCTTGAGAACTACAAATTTAGAGTACACGCTAAGGTATGTTTGAAAACATAATCAATTTCTTTTTGATGTTCCTGTTTTAGGTTAATGAAAAATCAATTTGAATAAAGCCAAATTATTTTCTCTAAAGCAAACAGAGTTTGTTTTTGGTGTTAAAACTACACCTACAAAGGGATGAAACAAGGTGTTAAAATTTTTATGGAAAAAAACTCTCTCTAAAAACCTCTGAAAGACGATTCTTTAAAAATAAAATTTTAACTTTCTTAACCTCACTTTTTTTAGTAACAAATTTAATTCTTTGATATGTAAAGCCTTTTTCACATTTAAAGCGGGGTTTACACAATCATGGGCCTACTGTTATGTCAATTTCAATGAAATGGATTATTTCATTTAAAACCAAAATATTAAGTAAATAATCATTTCTATAATTCCTAAACTTAATGTAGTTAAGGACACGGAATTTCGAACAGCAATGTCAATCTACTGATATAATCTCTAAAATGGGCTTTAATTTATTAACTTCATTTTCATATGGTCACAGAAAGATCGACATTTACGTGTCATTCTGACTTTCAAATATGTCATGGTGACAATAAAGGATGGACCAAAATTTTTTTATTAACTGTCTTATTGTGTCTATCAATGTTTGTGACAAAAAATCTATTGGCAACACTGAATCATAGGCATTTTTTCTAATTTAATGAGCCGTATGAATAAAGTTAAGTAAATGCTTCTACCTTGTAATAGTAAAAGATAGACGTAATTTAGATTTTATGAGAAAGGGAGAAAATTATAGTAAAAGCTTTTGCTACATTTTATTGATACTACCCATTATATTGATGTATCAGGTGACGACCAAGCCTGTGGTTGCTCGTGGCAAGTGCATGCCATTTGCCTGTAAAAGTTTGACGTTTGAATTTAAGACTCAAGGTTGCCAAACTAAGACTTTAAATTTGATGCCAACTTGAGGATAAAAGAGTTATTTAAAAAACAAAAATGTTTGTGAAAAACAACTCAAAAAAAAACAGCTTTAAGATAAAAAAATACAAAGTTATTTTTAACAAGAACTATAATTATTCAATTAATTAATTAACTGTCAAAGTGTCATCGTTGTCAAAAAAATAAGGTCGCCAATGCGATGAGATTTAAACAGCAGAAAAACATACCGTATAACTTGTTTTTAGAAGAATAAAGAAAAATTTTGGTAAGTATTAAGTAATTATCTTAGGTGAATTTGGATTCACCAATCATTTGTTGAATTGTCTTCGAAGAAACAAAATTACCCTAAAACAGTGGTTTTAAAGTTGTAGGGTTGGCAATTGATCTGCCAAACTTCAATTTGAAGTAGTCAATTTTATTTACATCAAAACTTTTACTTATTAAATTCTTCGGAAAATATTTCAATACGTTATAAATCTGTGGAAATGCGTGACGCACCTGGCAAGTTCGTTGTAATTCAGGAATGCGGAGAAGCAACTCTCCAAATTTGGCAGGACTGTCCGGATAATGGCTCAACGTATAATCTTGCAACGCTTTGAGAGCTTTTTCTTGCGAAGCTCGAACTTTTTCAGCCTCTCTCAACTCAGACGTATCTGCAACCACCAAAACCATAACTCTTGAATTTAAAATCCAAAATTCGACTCACCTGACGTTAGTAAAACGATTACCTTCATTGCCACATACTCGTACTGATCCACTCGCAACCTTCTCAACTGTTCCGTAAAATTCAACATCCTTTCTATACACGCTTGCATTCCCATGTCCCTGGCCTGATTCAATGTGATGCTTTTTCCTAAAGAGACTCGAATTTCGCCAGGAGTCGACATTGAACGAAAACAACAAGAGAAAAGCAGCAATTCGCACCAGGAGTTTATGAGCAAACAGATTTGGTCGTCGATCTACAATACTCCACTTTTAAAACAAACAAAATTAACGAAATTTTTACTACATACGGATATGTTTTTAAATAGTGGCAGACTTTTGCACCATTTGACTATTTTGTACAGTCGACGGTCGGCTATATTGCACAAATTCGCGACGAAATCTGGATTAGTGTCAGTCGAGCCGGCCAAAGCAGTGCCGGCTAAAAGAGGATGGTTTGATAGATTGTGGACGGCTCCGCTTCCTCCTTCTTTCCCCAAATGGCCTTCAGTGCTCAACTTGTTCAGCTCCACCTCGTTGTAGTGCCAAAGGTGCTCCACATCCATTATTTCCTTCAAAAACAGAGCTATTAAAGCATCTACCACAATTTTTATGCAAGGTTGGTAGCGTATCAATGACCACTATGACATTCAGTGTTACCAAATTACCACAACAAAAATGTCAAGAGTATAAATATTACAGCATTAATTAATTAACTGTTACTAACACTCCGCACTAAAAATAGTACCAATCGCGCTAAATTTAAATTTTTACTTGTTGTTTTACTTGTTCTATTAAACATTTTTTGGTACTTTAAATGGCAGATTTACAAAAAAATGATTTTTAATGTTGCAATTACCATAATATTTTAGTAATGTAAGGCTAGGATGTAAGACAAATGAGAACTAAGCAACATTTTTCAATTTATTTTCTGTAATTCTGTTAATTTGCTGATGCCCAAAGAGCGAGTTGTAAACCCAAAATACAGGGTGTAAGAACTCGCGACCCATAGAAAAATTTCAAGTAAGATAAGATATCAGAAACATGGAAAAAATGTTTAAAAAAATTCTATCTGTCAAAAATTTTGACATTTAACATTTTTTTTATGTCTATTTTCGTATCAACAAGAAACTACTGCCTAGGATTTAGGGATATTCGTGAATAGGTTGCCTTAAATTTCGTTAGGTTGGTTTTTGGTGACAAACAAAAAATATCGTAACCAGTATCAAAATTTAGGTTAAATCACCTGTTAGCTTGTATAGATAAAAACTCAATTGATAGTTGACAGCAGGTTGACAAAAAACGTCAACCGTCAACAAGGTGACACCAACCCTACGCATTCAAAATTACTTCTGAAAATTCTAGTTACAAACAACATGAAAAACGTGATTTTCCTAAAAATTGGTAATGTCTTGTTGAAAAATCTATCCCTTAAAATGTTCGTCAGATTAATGCTTTATTAACTAATTAAAAACGAGTATAAACTCACACTAACACAATAAACATTTAACGAAACACAAACTAAAAACGATTATTAACACTTAAAAAATCAACTAAACGGCGTTAAACCAAAATAATTTGACAGAAATGACAAAACATGACAGGTGCAAAATCGGCGGAGGAATACAAGCGCGCAAATGTCACCAACCTAACTGTACGCAACAACCGGTCCTGAGATAAGATTGTTTTAGTGATTTTAATGTTGTTAGTATATTTTAAAAAGTTTAATCTATCGCTGGAAACGCTATACTAATACAGGGTGTTTACGGTCTTGGGGTTGAAATTTAAATGAGATGATGTTCACGGTAGAAAAAAAACTGATACGCTATATAAAACAAAAATTCACGTTGTTAAAAGAAATTATTCATTTT